ATCTCAGGAATCGAGATGTTTGGAGCTATACTGACCACCACATGACGCAGAGCCGTAGCAGCTGCCAAGAGCTGGTCAAGCTGCGTCTGGAGCTGACGATCACGCTCCTGCAGCTGACGATCACGCTCCACGATCCTGGCCTCCATCCTGGCCTCGAACTCTTGTCTGAGCTCCTCTCGCAATTCCTCTGAGGATGTGGAACCCGGCCGCTTCGCACTCGCATGAGAGCTCCCGGCAGTATATGAAGGGCCAGCGCCACTTGAGCGGGGCAACCTAGTCGGTGTAGGTCCAAGTCCAAGCCCGCTAACTCGACCAGGGTGCTACGGCCGGCCACGACCCGCTAAAAGTGAGGCGGTGGGATCCAAGGCAGACCCCTGAGACTCACGCAACTCGGAATCGACCTGAGTCATCCGTGCCTACCAAAATTAATATAAAGAAGTTAATTATAATATAATGATATCTACACTGTGATATTATATTAATATTTAATTTATTACTTACCGCTATCTCCTCAACCTCATCCGACGCACGCCCGTCTCGAGGTCTATACACCATCGGCCACATCTCGCCATAAGTGGCCGTGTATCCCCGCTCCTGCCGTATCTTTTCCCTCTGTAAATGAAATCAAAGAAATAATTAGTTACAAATTAAATACATATACATATTTAATAAATTTATTTCAAGTACTCACAATCTCGTCATAAGTGATCGCAAAGCTCCTGGATCCAGCCCTATGACGTATCGTCTGATGCCTGACGCTCCCAGCATTTCTCCTAGAAAGAGCCTGAAGCAAAATGTAAAAAAATTAAATTAAATGAGTCAAGTCGGATAAAAAATAAAGAAATTATAATTAATACAATATTATCATACCATCTGGTCAGCCGTCATCCTAAAATAGACGTAACTGGACCAGTCTTGGTCCGGGACTCCACCAGGTACATCTGCCAGTATCTCCTGGAGGGGCCTCGTCCCGTCACCTTTCTTCTCCCTCCACAGGTCGGCCCTCCTGTTCTTCCATGCCATCCCAAGCCTCTTGATCATGTCAGCCCTCAACTCCTTCCCCCAGAATAAATTTACTCTATGATTAAAATAATAAATTAACTAAATAACAAATTATAAACAAATAATTAAGCAATTTCAATAATCAAAAACAAAATTAGTTTTTAACTAATTTAAAAATATTATAAATAAAATATAAATTAATCAAAAACAAATAATAATTAAACAATTAAGTAATTTAAATGAAAAAATTTTTTACTCAACTAAATTTAAAATTATTATAAGTAATAAATAATGAAATCAATAACAAATTATTTTCATTTAACTACTTTTAAATAATTTAAATAAAAAAATATATATTCATTTAACTACTTTTAAAAATATTATAAATAACAAACAAATTAAATAAATAAAAATTATAATCAAACAATTAAATTATTTGAAAACAAAATATATAATCATTTATTTAAATTAAAAAAAATTATAAATAACAATTTTATATTACCTTCATCATTTCCCAACCTTGCTGCTTCTTGTCTGAGGTGATCTTCTTCCAGTCCTGCACGTAGATGGGGAACAGCGTCCACTGCTGACCAAGGAGGAGCACGTACTTGTTGTACAACTGGCCACCTTTCTTTGTCGGTTGGCCCAACTCATTGAGCGGCACAACCACTCGTCCGCTCGTCATCATAGACAGCTCTCTGGCTGTCAGCCTCCGATAGGACCTGTTCCCCTCAGTGTCTGTAAAATTTAATTAAGAAATAAATTATATATCAATAAATTAATACAATTTCTATATAAATTAAATACTGATCAAAATTTTAAAAAGTTAAATAAATACTTATCGACAAATTCCACCTCATAACCAGCCTGACGTCTCGGAGCAGGACGCTGCGCAGCCTGGGGATACTCATTCCCCTGGTCCTGCTCCTCCTCCTCCTCCTCGTCAGCAGCATCAGCATCAGCATGGGATTGCTCATCCCCAGTAAAATGAGCCTCCTCAGTCCGCTCAACATCATCCTGCTCCATAAAACTGAGGATATCCTCCTCGCTGAGATCGTAGTCATGAATGCTGGGGAATGGCTCACCAGCATCATGATGAACCTCACTGGGTCCAGCTCTCTCAGGATCAACTGGGTCTTTCCCGTGCCGACGACTCATCCTAATAACAACAAATAGTAATTATTTATAAATAAAATAAAAAGAAAAATTATTTATAAGTTACAACATAATAAATTAAATAAAATAAAACATAAAATAAAAATTATTTATAAATAAATTACTATTTTTACCTGAAAATAAGGATATGCAACTGAATCAGAACTCGAATATGTCTGTGGAGAAAATTCAGCAGAGCTTCGCTTCCAGAACGATTAAAGAAGTGAAAGGGGGGGTTTATATAGACCGACACTTTCTAGCGGTTTTCCACAAAACCGCTAGAAATTTCTAGCGGTTTTGGACAGAACCGCTAGAAAATCCCAACGGTCACAAGTGCCTCGGGAATTGGCAGATATTTCTAGCGGTTCGAGTAAAAACCGCTAGAAATTTCTAGCGGTTTTTACCCGAACCGCTAGAAATTTCTAGCGGTTTATACGGAAACCGCTAGAAATTGCTAAACTCCTCGGGGAATTAAAAATATTTCTAGCGGTTCATGCATCAACCGCTAGAAATTTTCAGTGTCTAGCGGTTTATTGGCCTGAACCGCTAGAAAATAAACGCTACAAATTTGGCGCCAAGTTCCCGCCAAAACCCGGGAAATTTTCTAGCTCTAAATTTCTAGCGGTTAGGTGGTAACCGTTAGAAATGTACGGGCAATGGTCAAACCATCAGTAATTTGCAGCGGTTTTTCTAAAAACCGCTAGAAATGTTAGAAGTTCTAGCGGTTTTGTTGAACCGCTAGAAATGTTCCGCTGCTAATTCTACATTTTCTTATAGTGTATATATATATAATATTTTTGACCAAGATAACTAGTTACTATGTAAAATGACAGTATGAGTTAAAATAAGAGAGAAAACCCTCCAAAGAGAATAGTTTGAGTCAGAAACATAGTCCAGGATGACCAACTATTAAATAAAAAGAAGAGAGTTCATTAATGGGTCAAGAAAAGTTATATTTTGATAATAAAAGTTTGATGAACTAAGCATCAACCCATTTATACATAAAACTAAATTATAAGATTTGATATTTGCCCGAGCCTGCCAAAAAAGCCAGTAAAGAAAAAATTTAGACAAGGTAAATTGGAAAAAAGAAAAAGAAAAAAAAGACTTCAAGTAGTGATTCTTTTCCTCTCATATACTTATGCAATAGTTTTGTTGTGCCATAGTGCCTAAATTCTTTAATGAATATATGGGTAGATATGTTTTGTGATGAACAATTGGTAGCTCGTAGAGCTATACTTAAGCATGAGTATGTGAAAATTACTTTGTGTCGAGCTCGTGGAAGTGTACTCAGGTATAAGCATGTGAAATTTGCTTTGCGTTGAGCTCGTAGAGTTACACTCGGTTATGAGTATGTGATGTAGATTTAATTGCCATAGCCATGTGCATTGCAACGTGCAGGATGCATTAGCATCATTGTTTATATTTGTTGCAAAGCTTATGATGTTTGAGCATCATGGATTATGTTAATATGACTTGTTTGTTTGAGTTTATGAGCTTTGTATAATTATATGATGGACTGCTATCACTATCGAAATTCCTAAAATCTCACCCCTTTCATCCAAGACATAGCAAAGGCTAATGACTCAAAGGGCAAGAGCATGGTGTTTGCTAAGAATGAAGAAAGTTGGGAAGCTAGAGAAGTAAATTTGTTAGTTATCAAGTTTATTTTGTATGTTTTACTTCTAGTTATATTTTGATAACCATGTGAGGCTATACTTTTTTATATATGTAATTATGTAAAGTATTTATAGGCTGTATATACCTCTGTAAAGAGAAAGCGATGGCTATGTTGCCAACAGGTAAGTGCCATGACTTTTGATGACTGTATGATGGTAGATAAATTTCAGCTATTACTCTGACATCAAATATTATTAGCTCATCGATATTTAAGTCAGAAAAATAACTGGATATTTGAACCACTAAACATATTGTTCTATAAGTTATTTCAAAAAGTCTAAATTTTTTTAGAAAATCTTGTTCTTGATACCGGATCAACCCGTGCTTAGGAGAAGTTTTAATAAAGAGTTTAAGAAAAATATTCTTTTGTCTTAGGATCAAACTTGGCTTAGTAGTTCAACAGCTAATTAATTAACCATTATGATATAGTTATAGTAAGTATTACACCGGTTCTTAATATAAAAACTAGTTTGACTTTTAATTTGATCATAAATATGAAATCCCAATTCACTTTGTCTCTTACTTTTATTTATTTCTTTTGCAAAATAGTCTTTATAATAATTACACAAGTTAAAAATTTTATTAAATGATAGTTCTAACTAATACACATGATTAACAAAGATATTCTAAGAAATTCAACTTATATTTGTCACAAATAACTAACTTAACAAATTTTTTTAATTTACTCAAATTAGTCAATTAATTCTTATATCAAAGATTGGAAGTAATATTAACTAAGGATCAATAATAATTTATCCTAAGCTTTTAGGGTCTCGGAGAAGAGGGGCCTACGGTAACCTCTCAAAGTTCTTCCTCACCTTGTCACCCTATAGCTTGCGGCTTGCTCATCCCCCCCCCCCCCGGGGGAGAGCGTTTAAGGTCTTTCGTGGTTAATAGACATAGTTTCTCCATTTCATTCATGCCATTTCTCAACATTCAATAATGTTTACAGCAACAATACTGAATATTTACTTTCAATTCACATTGAGTAACGGTACAAGGAAATAGGACATAAAAATTTGTCTAAGGATCAATAAAATTTTGTCTTTCAAGCAAACTATGGATTTTGCTCTTTTAAAGAACAAAATGATCTAGATTTTTATTAAATTAAAAAGATTGATGTTTTAAACAAAAAATAATTTAAGAGACCAATTTTATCAAAATCAAAATAAGAACAAATTTGAGGGACCAGCAATTGTATTAATCCTTGCTTAATTGACAATGATTCAACAAAATACGAAAGAATATGGAAATATAACAGAACAATATGACCAAGTATCATATACTGTTCAGTGTTAAAATTCACCAAAAACAAGGGAATCACGTACGACTTCCCATTATGAATTTTAGACTAAAATTTTTTTTTCCCGCATCTACAGGACCGCTTATACCCACGGAACAGCTCTACAGACTAAGAACAGCTTTTTCCATAAATTCCATCTACAGTCTTCGGTAGTTACCGCAACGTCATAAGCTAGAACGAGCATCAATCAACGCCCAAATTGGAATAAGGTTCAATTCCACCCTGATAAAGTAAGAAATTATCGGGAAACAGGAAGTTGCGAAATAAATCTACCTATGATAACCCTATCCAACAAACCAATGGAACTAAAATTGGTCTAGATTAATCATGATTTAACTAATAATGCTAACAATTAAACGTCAAACGGAAGTTGAAACATCAACTCGAGCACACTAGCTTCATGTGCGCACAGATAATTTCAACAACCCTAGCTTCATGTGCGCACATCAACTCAAGCACACTAGCCTCATCGACCCAAAAGAACACAGATGCATGTGCACAGATCAATGCCCGGGTATTGCGAAGCACGCGTGCAGAGACATATAGACATGCACTCATAAACATACCATGGGCATGCACGCAAGCACACGTAGAGATGTTTTCAATTAATGAAAGCAATAAAAAAAAATCATATAAAAAACTCCATCAATTCAGGATGCTTACTGAGCAGTTATCATGAACACGCCATATAGTTTCCCCCAGAAGGTTTGCTACTGACAAGACTGTTAATTGAGGGAAATAGTTCTTCTCAGCCACTGGGATTGTATTTGTTATGATAACTTCCTGAAACACGCCACTTGATAATCTTTCTATAGCAGGAGGACTGCACAGGCATCAATGATGCATCATAAGTATAGCCGCTTCATATCGATTAACTAGAATGAAAGCTACGCAAACCTAAGTAAACGATCAGCAGTTTGGCTATTGTTATCATACATCCTTTATTCATTAATCATCAATAATTCTAAAAACAAAAATTCTGAGCAATATTAAGAAAAATTTGCGAAATAAAAATTGGAATAAGGTTCTGTCGCTAATTTTTTCTTCACTAATTGGATTACCAACGGAATTAGCAATGGAATTGCAATTCAGTTGGTAATTATCGACGGAATTTTAATTCCGTCGCTAATATTTTTTTTTATTTTTTTAAAAAAATTAAAATGCCACCTCACCTTCACCACCACATATCGCTGCTACGTGTTGCTGCCACCTTACATTCGCCGCTACGTGTTCCTCCCACCTTACCTCTACCGCCACGTGTCGCTATGTCACATGCCACCTTGTGTTGCCACATGTTGCCACCATATAATTCCTCCTCAAAGTGACTTCTCCACGGCTCGAACCAAAGACCTTGTTTGTGCACACGTATGACTTCACCAGTTGAGCTGTAATGAACTTACTAACTTATTATGCAAAATTATATATATAATATTTTCTTACACAAATAATTATATATACATATATATATTATTAGAAACTAAAAATAAACTATATGATAATTTTAATCATAACTATTTTTGTAACAGAATAATTTTTAGATATTTGTTTTACTATTTATTTTATAATGCTTTATTTTTTAAAAAAATTATTCTAAATATAATATTAATTTCCAATGACACTAATTTTGACTGTTAAATAGTAAATAATTTTTTCATAAATATATTTTTTAAATTTGATTCTTTTATTTAACATTCATAAGATATATAATTTAATTCTATATTTATTATATTTATTATATTATATTAAATATTATATTTTAGCCACGGAATTAGCCACAAAAATTAGCAATGGAATAATTTTCTGTGGCTAAATTAGCCATGGAAAAGTATTCCGTCGCAAATCTTAATTATAAAATTTTAGCCACGGAATTAGCGACAAAAATTTTGACGGAAGAAATTCTGTGGCTAATTTTAATTATAAAATTTTAGTCACAGAATTTTTCAACAGAAAAATTTCATGGCTAATTTTAATTATAAAATTTTAACCATGGAATTAGCGACGGAATTTTCTGACGGAAAAAATTCCATCACTAATTCCACGGCTAAGTTTAGCGACGGAATTTTTGTGGGTAATCTGTCAAAAATTAGTGACAGAAATTATTCCGTCATTAATTCTATCGGTAATTAGCTATTTTTTTGTAGTGAATATTGATAGTTAAAAATCTAACATTAAATGTTAATATTTTTAACGACTAAGGACAACATTGGTCCCTTTTTAATACTTTTGGGGTGATATTAATCCAAAAAAAGACTTTTGATATATTCATAGCTCCTAGGCAAAAAATTTTGAGACAAAAATTAGACATTAACCCAAAGATGTTCATTGTAAGCATTGTAAGTATTTGGATAACCATCAATTGCGTACCAAGTTACCCGGGATTTTAAGCACATTATTGTTATTATGAAATTAAAAACTATGACCACAATTGTCTCTTAAATGATATTAAGCATATATTAAGAATAATGGGACTCTTTACAAGAAGCCGATATGTAAATAATCAGAAAGTAACTCTAAGATAATATATTAAAAATAATTTTTCTCTTTCACTTACCCTGTTATAAATAAGGTTATGCTACCTCCGTTCTAATTATAAGAGCTAGTTGACTAATTTGAGAAAATTAAGAAAAGAAGTTAAGTTAGTTATTTGTAATAAATAGGTGTTGTCTTTCCTAAAATATCCTTACTAATCAAGTATGTTGGCTAAAGCTATAATTATTAGAAGGACTATCTTAGAAAAAATTGAGTAAATATGAGAGACAAAATGGATTGGGGTCTTATATTTACGACCAACATAAGAGTCAAATGAGGTTTATATTAAGCACCAGAAGTAGTATTAAAAAATATATTTGTTACGTATTTATTACTTTTAATTAATGTTAGTAGATTTTATAAATCACACACTTTGGCTCATTAGATCTCATAAAAAGCATCACAAGTAGTATTAGATCTAAGGTCACTAGTTATGCACAAACATTTGTTTTTAAAATGTCGGCACCACATTGGTGGCCGCTGCTAATTAGGGGTATTCATCAAGCCCGGTATATCCACCCAAGCCCGGGAAAAAATCACCCAGCCCAGCCCAAAAAAAAAAAAAGCATTTTGGGTTGAGCATATGACGGATAGGGCTAGGCTGGGGCAGGGTATGCCCTGCCCGTTTGGCCCTACCCGTTATATATATTTATAATTTTTTTTACAGAAATATATAATATTAATATAAAATATATATATATGTATAATAATATATACATTATTCTTCTCCCCTAAACCCCTGCTCCTGCCGCGCTCCCCTTCTTCCCCCTTCTATCATTCTACTCGCAAGCCCCAGCGGCTCAAACTAAGAGCCCTCTCAGTTGCTCACTCCAGTGACGCAGCGACACTCAGTCTCTCACTCTTTGTCTCTCACCGTCTCTCAATCTCTTCCTCCTCACTTCACTCTCACTCTTTGTCTCTCGTTTTAGGTTCTCACTCTGTCTCTCTCCAATATCATCTCAGGTGTATTCTCTTTTGTTTGTTTGCTTTTTTAAAAAAAATAATTCTAGGTGTTGATAGCTATATAATTATATTGATGGAAACAAAATATAGAGTAAGAGAGGTAGAGACCGAAGACAAGAAGGAGAAGATGAAAAAAAAATTGATGAAAACTTTTTTACCAAGACATCACTATTCGGGCTTCGAAGCTCGCCCTGCCCAGCCTGAAATGATTAGGGCTTCCATGGACAAGGTTGGGCAACGGGCTGCAAATCTTTTGGACTGGACATCGGACAGGGAGCATGACCTACCCAACCCTACCCATAATCACCCCTACTGCTAATGTCATCTCGGAAGTCACACCCAACTTGGGCCTTGGCAACGATTTTCTAAGGCCGCAATTAATAACTAATTCATATATTAGTTAAAATTAATAAGTAAGTTAGAAATATATTTTGTTTCTAAATATACTTTTATAATAAATGAGAAAATGATGAAAAAAAATGTACTGGGAAATATGATAGGAGAGGGTATGACAAAGGAGAGAGAATAAATAATTAAAGACAAAATAAAAAAATGTATTAAATATTAAGACAACATCAAATTGAAACTTATAAAATAGATCATACTCCTAACTAACCACAACCCGTGTGGGGTCCACAGCTGTCATGTTGAGGTAGTGAGTAAATTGTCTGAACTAGAATGGTTTGAAGCTGGACTTTGGCTCAATAATAAAGGTCAATACTTACTGAGAAACCCTAATTCCATTGCATTTAGCCTCAAGAAAATTGTCTCTGGACTCTACTCCATGTTTTTTCTTATTTCAAGCTTTTTTAGCCATGCAGTTTTCAGCTGATGTGATCTTATAGTGCTGGTGTGCCTCTTAATTAAGGCAAATAAGTTGATAGAAACTCGAAAGACCCCCCGGGGGGGAGTTTTAGCCAATGGACCATTATTATTCAAGATATTCATGTCGTTTACTGTTGCTATGTATAGTTCAACTTTGGGCTTAGTGATTCTCCTGTACCATGTGATTGTCTTTTCGCAGCTAAGATTTTTGTTTATGTTGCTGGTAAAAAAAAAAAAGATTTTTGTTTATGTGGCTATTTTGACCATTCCTGCGGCATTTTTTGTTTCTGCTGGGATTTATCTTTGTTCTTTTCGTTTTATTTGGAACTCGTCTTCCTTTCATTGCTCAAGTTGGAGGTCTTTGTATTAGGATTATTCTTATTCTGTTTTATGGCAGGATCGATGTTTGATTGGTGTGATAAAGGTGAAAGCAGTGGTCAAAACGATCAAGCTGATCATGAAATGGTGAAGTCAACAATATAATAATAATAACAATCAAGTTCGTCTTTTGAGTCGTTTTAAAGCATTTAAGTCCCATCTCTCTGGGAGCTATTATTTATAATTGTGGGACACAGTTTGGCTGCTCATCAAGGTAATCATGGATGAGTACCCCAACACGTGGGCTAACCGACTTTTTTAATTCCAGTTTTCATTTTTAATTTTAATAACTTAATAAGAAAAGAATTTACCATTTTCACTCAGTTTAAATATAACTTTATATTTTGTTAGAGGTTTCGACTCTAAGTTTGATTTTTCATTTTCTTTATTTTTTATCATTTTTATATTAATAAAAGAACTATTAAAAATAGATTATATGTTTATATTTGTAAGTTTTGAGATTAATTTAATTACATAATTATATGAAATATAAAACTAAGTAGAATTTAATCTATAAATTGTGTAATTTAATTTGAAAATTTTAAAAGTATGTATATAAAAAAATTTAAATTTCTTTTTTTTTCAAATGATGGGGTTGGCTGAATGTTTGCCCATCAGGAGGTGGGTCTTTTCAGCCAGACCCACATGAGCTCCAACCTGTGACGGGCTGACATGCTCTCCAGTACTTACTAGAAGAGTGCATTACATTTGATGAGCTCGATTTTGACCATTATAAATATTGATCTTGTCAAGAGTTTGACTAATATTTTAATATTTCAAGAGGCTTTGTTGCATTTAAAAACAACACCATATGTGACCTTAAGCAAATGGAAAACAACTCTTTGGAATAAGTGTTTGGTCTTGGGCTAGGAAGCTTTTGTTTTATACAAAAATTTTATGTGAGCTGAGTTCTAAAGCTCACCGAGGTCAGAGCATACTTTCAAGCTTAGAAAGCACTTACAGAAGTAGTTACAGATTGCTCACCAACAAGATACTCACATTGGTAGCGGGATTTGAATTCATGACTTTGTAAATTATAAGCTGACTTTTTATCAACTGAACCAACTAATATTAGCTGAAAGCTTTGAAAATATACACCCTACAGAATGGGCCCGACTTGGGCCTTTGCTAGCAAAGTTGTGGGCTAGTGTCTTGCAATTT